GGATACTTAAACATGGATTTTCCCTGTAAGCCAAATGGATTCATAAGTTGGATGCCTGCCTAATGGTCAAATGTCCCTTATTGAGAATCATTGATTTCTGGTATTCTTTGCTGATGTGACACAATATACGACCTTTTTCTGGAGCGCTGTGCTTTGTGCCTCAGTACCATAGCATGGTATCTAAAATAGATCTCCATGATATTAATTTTTTTTTAAATTTAGTCAAATCTACTGTCAATTTATAGGTCATAAAGAGATTTCCTATTTTATGAAACTTATTATTTTATTACTATTTTGTTATTTTGATTTATTGTGCTCTTTGTTTTGCTATTTTGTGCACATGATAACAGGGGTCTTATATAAAATTATCATTTAAACACTGAGGTTCTTTTTGTTTGAATGGTAGTGGTGAAGATATTTTAATTTCAACAAACTGATGCAATGTAGTTCAAAATCTTTGTGATATCACCATTAGGAAATTATTGTACCGTCAGTAATAATTCTGTTATAGATCAGTTACTTCTGCAATGGTTAGAAATAAACAACACTGAGGAAAAAGATGTTGAATTAGTAAGAAGTCTTATTATAAAGATCAAGCAAAAAGAAAATAGGAAAGAAGTTATGACCAGGATAAGGAAAGCAACAAAGCAATATGAAAAGAGGAATATTTTTACAGTAAAATGTATTATGTTTAAATCGAGCACAAAACACCATAATGCTGGAAAGCTGAAACAGAAACAGGAAATGCTGGAAATACTCAGCAATTTGGCCATGTTTGCAGAGGGAAAATCATAGTTAACGTTTCTAAACAGTGAACCTTTATCAGCATAATTCAGTATATCACTAAAAATAGAATGAAATGTGAGGTGGAGCCTTGGATGGAATTGTGAGTTCATAGAAAATAAGTAGAAATTTGATGCCCATCATCAATGACTGGTTGGGTCATATGGCCTTTATCTGTGTTACAATTTCCATTTTTAATATTTAGTGAATTGGGTCTTGACATTATTTGACAAAGTAACAGCAATGTAAATCATATATATTAAAGTGTCAAAAGAGATAAGCTATCAGTGCTCCAGCTGAACCAATTAAAATATTCTTAATTAATATTTTTGATAACTGCCTGTCTGTTTGGAAATCACTGACACATTAAGGGAGGAACTGGCAGCTATTTCTAAGCATAAATATGAATTACCATAAACCACTGAAGTGAAGAGATTAGTGTTGCACTGTGGAGTGATGGCTATTTTATTAACAACTTTATCTTAGATCCCTTAAATTGTCACACTTTCTGACTGTCTCCAGCAGATCATGTTTTGTACAGATTTAGTGCATTTTGTTCGATCAGAGTTGTAACGTAACATTCGTGACTCTTTAATTTTTAGAAATCATTGGTAAGTGGACAATGTCTGGCTAAAGTTCAGTTAATTTTTAAACGTTTTTGTGCAAAACCAATTTAGAGCTATATTTTTCTACTCAAAGTTTGGATTTTGTAATTTTAATAGATAAAATTGAGTAATAGCTGTTAATTGTGTTCTAATATAATACATTAAAATGTATATTTATAAGATGCATGGAATTTGGTTTTGCTAATTTTCCCAATATTTCCACTTATGAAAATTTCTAAAGCATATTTCGGTCTGTAAACGAGCTGAAAGTAATATTTAGTGAAATGCAAATAAGTTGAGCAATAAGTTTAACTGCTTACATTTCAAGTCATGCGTAGAGTTCCTCAAGTCATTTTCCAATATAAATTTGGATAAATCCACAATGTTCATTTGTCATTTAGCATACTACTTGCTGTAGTTTTAATGTCCTATTACACCAATGTCATATTGCACTTATGTACAGAATAACATTAACGTATAAAATATTGCATTGAAAACCCTGAATATTCAGTTGGGTGCTTTTTTTTATTCAATGCATTCTCTGCAATGCATTTATTTCCCTACAGCATTTAATGAGATGAAAAGATAAATATTTTCCATGAACTGCTGTATTCTTTCTGCTGTATCATCAGTTTTGAAAAAAGTGATCCATGCCCAAATCAAGATGTAGTTTATCTTGCAGGAGAGCTTGGTAGTAACATTGCTGTTCTTGACCTTCTTGGTAGAATAGGTCATTGGGCTTGGGATCATATCAAAGTAAGCTTAGGGAGCTTCTGCAGTGTATCTTGTAAACATACAGCAATTACATTCTAATGGTAATGGAGAGGTGGATATCAAGGTAGTACAGGAGAGCTAATCAGGCAAACTGCTCTATCCTAGATGGTGCCAAGCTGCTTGTATTTTGTTGTAACAACATCCATCCAAGCAACGATCGAATATTTTGTCACAAATGTGACTTGAGCATTGTAAGTCATGCAAATGAGTTTAGGGATCAGATCTGAGCTGCTTGTCTCACAGTACCTTTTCTCTGCCCTGCTCTTGACATGACAGTTGTTATAACTGATCGTTGGTGATCCCAAAGAGGTTGATGTGAGAAACTTAGCAAATATGCCTTTATTAAAATTACTGGGAACAAGGGACCTTCACGTGTTTGAGGTTATCCTAACCTTGCATTTGTCAATGAATGATACGTATCATTTTCAGCTCACAGTGGAAACTGCCATGGACAATTTTTATATCCCCAATAATTTTGAAGCATGATACCCATGTAGCATGATTGACAAGTTATATACATATAGCACAATAGGACACCATTCAGCCTGTTGTGTTGTGCTGGCTGTTTTGAAAGAGCGGTCATGTTTTGCCCCATGTCTATACTTTTTGCTAATAATTGTGTAAGTTGCTTTTCCTCAAGTACTTGTCCAAAGCATTTTAAAATTCTTCACAAATTAACTTTCATTATCTTTTCAGGTGATGTTTTCCAGATCGTAAGAATTGTAAAATGGGGAATATCCTCTCTAGGTATCTTGCTAGTGATTTCAAATCTGTAGTTATTGACTCACCTCCCAAATGAAATATTTTTTCTCTTTATAAAAGTTTCTCTAATTGAAAACCTCTATTTGGCCACCTCTTAATCTTTTCAAAAGAGAACAGTCCTAACTTTTTCAACCCGTCCCTATTAGGCACCTTCTATGGTAACCTAGTGGTTAGGATTTGGCGCTCTCACCGCCACAGCATGGGTTCAATTCCTGGCCAGGGAATGCAAGTCCTCCTTTGGGGCGGCACGGTAGCTCAGTGGTTAGCACTGCTGCCTCACAGCGCCAGGGACCCGGGTTCAATTCCACCCTCGGGTGACTGTCTGTGTGGAGTTTGCACATTCTCCCCATGTTTGCATGGATTTCTTCCAAGTGCTCCAGTTTCCTCCCACAGTCTAAAGATGTGAAGGCTAGGTGGATTGGCCATGCTAAATTGCCTGTACTGTTCAGGGATGTATAGATTAGGTGGGTTATCGGTGGATGGGTCTGGGTGGAATGTTCTGAGGGTTCGTGTGGGCTTATTGGTCCCAAGGGCCTGTTTCCACACTGTAGGGATTCTTTGATTCTGTGATCTATGATAAAATTACTCATCCCTGACAACATGCTGATAAAACATCTACCCACCCTTTCAAAGGCCTTTCCAGTTTTCATGAAGTGTGGTACCCAGTGACAATATCCCAGCCAGTGATTTATAAAGTTTAGCACAATCTCGTTGCTTTTACTTTGCAATCCTCTATTTTTAAGCCCAAGTACAAAATGCTTTTTTTTATATATTGGTCTTTGTAAAATACATCATTTCACACAACATTGCATTGAACTGCATTTGCCTAGTTCACCAAGCTATCTGTGTCCTCCTGAAGTTTATTCTTGTTTTTTAACACTTTCACAGGATGTGGATTGTCATAGGCAAGACCAGGATTTGTTGCCTACCTCTTATTGTCATTGAGAAGGCAGTTGTTAACTACCTCTTGAATGCAACTGAGTGACTTGCTTAGATCATTTCAGAGGGTACTTAAGAGCAAACTATATTGCTCAGAGTTTGAAATCACACAGAGACTAGACCAGGTCAGGATAGTAGATTTCCTTCACTAGAGGATATTAGTGAACCTGATGGATTTTTACGACAACCAGTGGTTTCATGTTCGCAGTTACTGACAGTAGCTGTTTATTCCTTATCAACTATCCACTATACCAAGTTTTGAGTGATATGCAAACTTTATAATGCCACTCCCTACAATAAGGGTAAGTTTGTTGAATGGAAAATTGAAAAGAGTATTGGACCCTAAACTGACCCTTCCAGCCACAACTACCAATTAGCTCCAATGATGTCCATTCATCACCATCCTTTGCTTGCTGTCACTGCGTCGATTTTGCATGCATATTGCAAAGATACATTTAATTTCATAGGCTTAAATCTCCTGTGTAGTACTTTGCTTACTTTCCAAGATGCGTATATACATGTACTGTGCCACCTTCATCGACCTGTTATATCAAAATTAAATTCTTTGAGACATTGTGTATGAACTTGGACATTGGACCAACCATTATACCTCACGTCTGATGTCCACTTCTGTTGTAGTCAGTCAAACTGAATAATGAGCAGAGGGTATAATAACTAATCAATGTGCTAACACCTGCTTGGCTTTTCTATCCATTTCCAATTTCACCCCAACATCTGCTCAATCATTGTTGATGCTACTGTTGAATGGTCTTATTCTTTTCAAATGTCATTTAGAATTCCTCATGATTGCAAAAGTCTTTTGTCGTCTTTGTACAAAATCTCTGGACATTTAGAGGCAGGCTGGGAAGTAAAGGAAAATTGGAATAATCGATCAATTTTGTTGGGGATTGGTTCTTCCATGTGTAATGGTCAGATGTTAAACTGTTATTGACAGTGATTTGTGAACAGTGTGCCCACAGCCTGAGCAGTAATTTGAAACTGATCTGTAGTTTGGTAATGTATTTTGAAAACAAAAATATTTAAGTAGATTTCTAAGGTTAGAATAAATAGAGACTTCCTGTTAAAACTTTTTTTTTGTAATAAGGTCTACAGCCATAACTTTTTATTCTGTTGCAGGCTCATTGTGGTCATTAACAGGAGCTGTATTGTACGCCATCTATATAGTCATGATTAAAAGAAAAGTTGACCGAGAAGACAAAATTGACATACCCATGTTTTTTGGTAAGATGAACAGTCACACAGCATACACTATAATTTTTTTTGAATGATAAGATCAGCTATGGTTGCATGTTCTGAATTAACTGCAGTTGCTCCAGGTTTTCCTACACTAGGTATATCCATGTCAATGACTATCTTTAGGCTGGGAAAGTGGAAACCTTAAAATCTGGGAATTTCTGAGATGGTTTAAACAATGCTGATTTTATATTCTAATGCAAACATTTTATGGAAAGTATTTAGTACAATTCATATGATCTCAATCTGATCCTGTTAAACCTATCCACATCACTGTCCATGATACCACTTATTTTAGTGTCATCTACAAAGTTACCAATCATGCCTTGTACATTCTCATCCAAATCATTAATATAGACAACAAACAGCAATGGGCCCAGCACTAATCCCTGAGGCACACCACTAGTCACAGGCCTCCAGTCCAACAAACATCCTTCCACTATTTCTCTCTGCTTCCCACCATCAAACCAATTGTGTATCCAATTTGCCAACTCTCTCTGAATTTCATGTGATCTAACCTTTTGGAGCAGCCTACCAGGTGCAACCTTATGAAAGGCCTTTCTGAAATCCATGTAGACTACGTCGACCACCCTGCCCTCATCAGCCTTCCTGGTCACTTCAAAGAACTCTAACAAATTTGTGAGGCATAATCTCCCATGCATGAAGCCATGCTGACTACTCCTAATCAAACCCTGTCTTTCTAAATGCACGTGTATCTTATCCCTCAGAATCTTCTCAAGTAACTTAGCTACCTCAGATGTTAAGCTTATTGGTCTATAATTCCCAGATTTTTCTTTGCAGCCCTTCTTGAATAAGGGCACAACATTCGCTACGCTCCAGTTTCCGGGACTTCACCCGGGGCTAACGATGATGCAAATATATCAGCCAGAGCCCCTGCAATTTCTTCTGTAGCCTCTTGCAGGGTTCTTGGATATATCTGATCAGGACCAGGAGATTTATCCGCCTTCATACGCAAGTTCATAAGAGACAGAAGCAGGAGTAGGCCATTCGGCCCGTCAAGCCTGGTCCGTCATTCAGTAAGATCATGGCTGATCTCTCCGTGGTCTCAGCTCCTCCCACTTGCATTATCCCCGTAACCCTTAATCCCCCTACCATGCGCGAATCTATCCAACTGTGTCTTAAATATATTTAATGAAGCTGCCTCTATTGCTTCCTTGGGCAGAGAATTCTATAGATTCACCACTCTCTGGGAAAAGCAGTTCCTCCTCATCTCTGTTCTAAATCTACCCCCCCTAATCTTGAGGCTATGCCCCCAAGTCCTAGTCTCTCCCACCAGTGGAAACAACTTGCCTGCCTCTTTCTTATCTATCCCTTTCATATTTTAATATGTTTCTATAAGATCCCCTTCATTTTTCTAAATTCTAGCGAGTAAATCCCAGGCAGCTCAACCTGTCCTCGTAGGGTAACCCCTCATCTCCGGAATCAGCTTGGTGAACCTCCTCTGCACCGCATCCAAAGCCAGTATGTCCTTCTTCGAGTACGGAGACCAGAACTGCACACAATATTCCAGGTGCAGCCTCACTAACACCTTGTTCAATTGCAGCAGAACCTCCCTGCTCTTAATTTCAATCCCTCTAACAATGAATCCAACATTCTGTTTGCCCTCCTGATTACCTGTTGCACCTGTAAGCCAACTTCTGGCGATTCATATACATGCACTCCTAAATCTCTCGGCACAGCAGCATGCTGCAGTCTTTCACCATTTAAATAGTAATCTGATCTATTATTTTTAATTCCAAAGTGGACAACCTCGCATTTTACCAATATTGCATTCCATGTGCCAGATCATTACCCAATCACTTAACCTATCTAAATCTCTCTGCAGACTCTCTACATCCTCTGCACCGTTTGCCTTTCCACTCAATTTAGTGTCATCAGCAAACTTAGATACGTTACACTCGGTCTCCTCTTCCGAATCTTTATTTTATATCACGAACAGTTGCGGTCCCAACACCTTCCTCTGTGGCACTCCGCGCATCACTGATCTCCAACCAGAGAAACACCCGTTTATCCCAACTCTCTGCCTTCTATTGGTTAACCAGTCCTCTATCCATGCTAATATATTCCCTGCAACTCCATGCATTCTTAACTTATGGATGAGTCTTTCTTTTATGCCGTACCTTATCGAGCGCCTTCTAGAATTCCAAGTACACAACATCCACCTGTTCCCCTCTATCCACCACGATTGTTATATCCTCAAAGAATTCCAGTAAGTTTGTCAAACATGACCTTCCCTTCCTGAATCCATGCTGCATCTGCCTGATGGAACCCTTTCCATCCAGATGTCTCGCTATTTCTTCCTAAATGATAGCCTCAAGCAGATTGCCGACTACAGACATTAAGCTAACTGGCCTGTAGTTACCTGCCTTTTGCCTACGTCCTTTTTTAAACAGTAGCGTGACATTCGCTGCCTTCCAGTCTGCTGGGACCTGCCCAGAGTCCAGCGAATTCTGGTAAATTACATTCTAAAACTTCCAACACCACCTCTACTGTGACATGGACTGTCCTCAAGATATCGTCACTAACTTTCCCAAGTCTTTATGTCTTTCTCCATGGGTAAACACAGAGGAGAAATAGTAATTGAGGACCTCGCCCATCTCCTGCGGGTCCACACATACATGTCCACTTTGGCCCTTGAGGGATCCTGTTCTCTCTCTAGTTGTTCTTTTTCCTTTAATATACTTAAAGAATCCTTTTGGATTCACCCTAATCTTCTCAGCCAAAGCTATCTTGTGCCCCCATTTTGCCCTCCTGATTTCCTTTTTCACTAAACTCCTGTATCCCCTGTATACCTCCAGGGATTCCCTTGATCCCAGCTGCCTGTTCTTGAGCCATGCCTCCTCCTTTTTACTGGTCAAAGCCTCAATATCTCGTCATCCAGGGTTCCCTGCTCCTGCCAACCTTGCCTTTCACCCTCACAGGAACACATAGACCTTGAACTCTAGCTATCTCACTTTTAAAGGCCTCCCACTTACCAGAGGTCCCTTTGCCTGCAAACAAACTACTCCAATCAACCCCTACAAGGTCCTGTCTAATTCCATCAAAAGTCACCTTGCCCCAGTTTAGAACTTGAACCTGTGGACCAATTTTGTCCTTCTCCATAACTATTTTAAATTAATAGAACAATGGTCTTTGTCCCAAAGTGCTCCCCCACTGTCACCTCAGTTACATGTCCTGCCCTATATCCCAAGAGTAGGTCAAGTTTTGCCCATTCCCGCATAGGCCCCTGTATATACTGCTTGAGGAAACTTCCCACAACACATTTAACAAATTCCACCCATCTAAACCGTTAAGACTATTGGCAATCCCAGTCTATGTTAAATTAAAAATTAAAATCTCCCCCTATGACAACCCTATTTCTCCTGCAAGTCTCCACAATCTCCCTGCATGTTTGTTCCTCTAATTCCTATTGACTATTTGGGGGCCTAGTGCAATCCCAGTAACTTCACCATCCCCTTCTTATTTCTTACTTCCACCCACAAAGCCTCACTGGATGATCCCTCAGTTATTTCATCTCTGACTACTGCTGTGATACTCCCCTCAATCAAAAATGCAACTCTCCCTCCCCTCTTTCCTCCACCTCTGTCCCACCTAAAGCACCTGTACCCTGACACATTAAGCTGCCAGCCCTGTCCCTCCCTTAGCCATGTTTTAGTAAAAGCTATGATAGCCCAGCCCCACGTACCTATCCACGCCCTGAGTTCATCAGCGTTACCTGTCAGCCCTCTTGCATTGAAATAGAAGCAATTTAATGCAACTAGCATTCCTCGCTCCCTGTCCTGTTCCAGCCTGACCTGTCTTTTTAGCTTGCTGATTATTGAATCTCCTTCTGATTACTGAATCTCCTTCCAGCCTTGCACTTGCCTACCTGCTGTTGAGGATCCTCCCCGCCTCTGTTGATCTAGTTTAAACCCTCCCTTGCAGCATTAGCAAATCTGACCACCAGGAATTGGTCCCCCTCCAGTTCAGGTCAACCCGTCCCACTTGAACAGGTCTCCTCTGCCCCAGAAAAGATTCCAATGATCCAGGAATCTGAATCCTTGCCCCCTGCACCAATTCTTTAGCCACATGTTCATCTGCCATATCCTCCTGTTCTTAACCTCACTGGCACACGGTACTGGAAGTAATCCGGAGATTACCACCATCGAGGTCCTAGTTTTTAACATTTCTCCTAGCTCTCTCCAATCACTCTGCAAAACCTCATCCCTAATTCTACCTATTTCATTTGTACCAACATGCACAATGACTTCTGGCTGCTCACCCTCTCCCTTGAGAACGTTCTGCAGCCTCTCTAAGACATCCTGGACACTGGCACCCGGGAAGCAACACACCATCCTGGATTCCTGTCTTTGGCCACAGAATCTCCTGTCTGTCCCCCTAACTATCGAGTCTCCTATCACAAGTGTCCTATTTACCTTTACCCTTTCCCGCTGTGCCCCAGAGGCTGTCATAGTGCCACTGATCCGGCTACTGCTGCTTTCCCCTGAACGGTCATCCTCCTCCAACAGTGTCCAAAACGTTACACTTATTTGAGGGAAATGGCCATGGGGATTCCTGCTGCCTCTGCCTACTCCCTTTGCCTTTCCTGGTGGTCGTCACCCAGCTACTCTCTACCTGCTTCTCACTAAAATTCTAATCTATGATGTGTTCAGCATCTCAGACGATCCTGAGTGCATGCAGCTCCAGCTCCCAGCTCCCAGCTCCCAAGAGCAGCAGCTGGGTGCAATTCCCACACGTGTAGTCATCAGGGATGATGGAAGTGTCCCTGAGCTGCCACATCCTGCAGGAGGAGCATGCCACTGCCCGAACTAACATCTCAAATGCTCTAAGACTAAAAGGAAAGCTAAAGGAACTTTACCTGAGTTTACCTGTACTTTTTGCTGAGCCACTGCTCACCAAAGCCTCTTGAGCCAACGCCTTACTTCTCACTCTGCTACCAATAAATTTTCAAAAGCATGTCTCTCTTC